CACAAGGTCGGAGGTTCAAGCCCTCCTTCTAGCGTTTTTAATTTGCTTTTTTACTTTTCATCTTTACCTTTTTTTTACTATCCCCGAAACTTAGCCATTTTTACTGCGCAGATCGACCTCACCTCAGTCACCTGCTCCATTCCCACCCTCTCTCGCGGCTAATTGCACTCTCAGATTCACAATTTTTTCTTCTTCGCCGCCTAGATTCTCAAGAATGTCCATGGAAGCCGCCGCCGCCACATCCTCCTCACCATCTCCGTCCTCCGCCATCGATTTTCTCACACTCTGCCACCGCCTCAAGGTACGCACATTCCATGAAATTTTAGAAATTGGTGTGGTTTTTGATAGGATTATATGTTCGAGGAGAATCCCGCCGGTTTCAAGGCGGCAACGTACTGTGAATTTCGCTACTATTTTCATGCTTGCCGAATCCGAAAGAATGAATTGTGCTCATGCTTCAATTCACTGAGTCACAAACGTGTTGTTGCCTGTTGGAGTGAACTAACGGTCTGGACTGTGTGAATTTACTGGGTTTATTGTTGTTTTTGAAACTTTACCGTTTGCTGAAGCTGGAATATTTCTTGAGTTTGAATTGCTATGTTTCGTGGCGTGCTTTAGAAATGATTACATATGTTCAAATTCTTGGTGGATAAACTTTCCTACTTCACATAAACTACAATGAGCTAAATTGAATGGGTTGAAGCTCTTAACAGACCACGAAGAGGACTGGTTGGGTATATAGAGGTGTGAAAGATCCGGAATCCATATCTGATCACATGTATCGTATGGGAGTGATGGCTCTTATATCCACTGACCTTCCTGGTGTGGATCGGGACAGGTGAGTCATATATTGTAGTTTATCTGTTCCTTTTTTTTCAACTTTTTTTGCATAAACCATTTCTTCCGATCTTCAACAGTTTCAAGTTTGTGTACTTTGCACCAATTGAACATTCTAATGTAAGATTCACTTTCAGGTGTGTAAAAATGGCTATAGTGCATGATATTGCTGAAGGTGAGAACTATTCTTTTGAGCCTTTTTGTCTATCATGTATTCATAGCCAGCCCACTAACATATAAAGAATGCTATATGCAAATCGATAAATTACCAAAATTTCACTCGCCCCTCCTCCATCAAGTCATTGCAACACATAGTAGTGCCGCTATAGTGCTATTTAGTATTTAACAGAGACTAGCATTGTATTGATAAAATAGAAGGAATAAAAATTTAAAGTAATTTTTTCCCAGAGAAAACTAGAAGGAATCAGATAATATTTTCCCATACTCAAGGCCATCCCATACAAACATGATATTTATGGACCAATCTCCTGGCTAGCGCTAGTCCTCTTTAAGTTTGGATCCAAATAAGAAAGAGTTGTTTTATGTAGTTTAGAAATGCCTCATTCCTGAACGTTATGAATTTTCACATTCTTGGTACTCTTTGATCAGTTTGATGTGAATTAAATGTGAATGATGTTCATGTTGCTTTACTTTTACTTATTCTCATGCTTCACTTTACTGTCTCATAAATGTTAGCATGTGCAATGTATGTTAAACAGCAATTGTTGGAGACATAACTCCTGCTGACGGGGTTTCAAAAACTGAAAAGAGCCGCCGGGAGAGGGAAGCTATAGAGGATATGTGCAAACTACTAGGCGGAGGTCCACGAGGTAAAAATAAAATTGTAACTTCACCACTAGTATTTCATCCAAGCAGTGAAATGGAGAGAAATTGACTCAACAAGCATTTTCTTCTATTATTTTGGGGCTTTTAGCTAATTGAGTTAGTTACATTAATGAAAGATGCTTTTCTTTGTGATACTTATGTTTTTAATTGCAGCTAAGGAAATAAAGGATTTGTGGCTGGAATATGAAGACTGTTCTTCACTGGAAGCTAAAGTTGTTAAAGATTTTGACAAGGTACCTTGCACATTAGTACTAATAAGTAAAACAAATGTATGCTGTGTTTGTCTCATGATGTCTTTTACAGTAATAATGAAAACTTTAAAATGGGCATGGACAAAACTTGAGTGTGTGTGACTTTCACTCTTTCTCAATAAACGAGTAAGCAACACCCACCCACCAACACACACACACACATGTTTGTCTAGGTACGAATGATAGATTTGGGTTGACACATAAGGTGATAAAAAGAGGGGTCAATATGTCCGAACATAGACAAACTATAGGGCCCTGACAGTTTTGGTTGAGAGTGACTACTAAGGGGCTGTTTGGCAACTTCTGAATAGGTAAGTGCTGAACCAGTAAGAGGTCTGAACCATTAAGTGCTGAACCAGTAAGAGGTCTGAACCATTAAGAGCTAGTATATTGCTTAACTATTCAGAGGCAAATGTCTGATCAATTCAGATAAGAGGTCTTAACCATTCAGACTCTGTATAATACTTAACCATTCAGAGGCAAATGTCTTAACCATTCAGACATCTGAACCATTAAGAGGCTGAAACAAACAGTCTGAACCATTAAGTGCTGAACCATTCAGACATCTGAACCATTAAGAGGCTGAAACAAACAGTCTGAACCATTAAGTGCTGAACCATTCAGACATCTGAACCATTAAGAGGCTGAAACAAACAGCCCCTAAATGTTTTAAGTTCTTATATCGTTGATAACTCATATATTGATGTTCTGAAACCTTTCGATCAACATCCATAAACTGTTGTGACTTCTTCTTTCTTATAGGTTGAGATGATACTTCAGGCTTTGGAATATGAAATAGGTATACACTTTCTTCCTTCTGTTTTTTCAATCCCAATCTAAAATTCCCATAAGAATTTGGCAGTTGGCACCAATTGTTAGGCACTGTTTAGAGCCAGAAATGGTTTGAAGTGGTGTGCCACCATTTTGGACGCACAAATGTTTAAAAGGAATGCGAACCTTATTGTGGGACATGCAAAAATGGCAAGTGGGAACATTATTTTGGGATATAGGGAGTACATGGTAATTTCAAATGTATCTTTCATTAGATTGCGATGATAATAATTGGACTTAAAACAACAACAACAAGCCCAATATAGTAGTCCCAACTCTATTGGAGTTTAGGGGGTCACAATGTACACAACCTCACATCCTCGCCCTTGTATAAAACAGAGAGGTGTTTTCCATTAGACCCTTGGTTTATAGCTTCATTTTCTAGCCCAAAACTTCATACAATACGAAGCAAGGGAAGTTGAAATGGGCATTTTGATTTAGTGCATTATTTACCGAAAGCTAAAACATTATCGGAAGTTGCTCTTTTAGCTTCAATGGGGTTACCTTAAAACTTAGACACATTACTTGAGTGTTTATTTTCCAACACATGTAATTTATAATACTAAAGACATGGTGCTTGTATGATAGAATAACAGCACCTGGTAGACGGTTTCCAATAAAATCTAATCCATCTTCCAGTGAGGGGAGTTAATAAACTACTGCATTTTCCTTCCATGATTACAAAACAAAAACAGTTATGATAGAAATGCTATTTTTATGTAAAATTGGGCCTAGTAACCAATAAATCAGCCAGTGTCTTGTTATAAGCTCAGTACAGTCCCCATCTTCCCAATGAGTTACATTGTAAGTTTAAAGGTCAACTACTAGTTACAGACCTTACAATCTTGACATAATGAAATAATATCTCATTTGTTTGTGGTTCATGCAGAGCAAGGAAAGGATTTGGATGAGTTTTTCCAGTCTACAGCAGGTTCCACATCTAACCTATCTTTGCTTCTTCTTCTGCAGTTTCCATACTTTCTACCTTGTTAAGGAAGAGTGCAATTGCATTGTTCTTTACTCTCTCCAATTAGCTGAGCATTCTCATTAGATTTGTTTGAGAAATGCTAGTTTTATTGATGAAATGAAGCCTTCTTAATGTGATTCTTTATGAGAAGAAAGCCTTCTAAATGTAATTCTTTAAACAATAAAAAAATCATATAAATAGTTCCTTTTCTTTTGCTTTCTTGCTGTGTTTAAGAGAGCATGTGATTTCCCTGTGCAGGGAAATTTCAAACTGAAGTGGGTAAAGCTTGGGCTGCGGAGATTATATCAAGACGAACAAGCAAAAAATAAGTTCTAAAGTTATCGCCTCTAAGTTGCATTGGTGGCAACATATTCTTCATAGTTTTAGAGGTAAACATCAATGCCTCTGATTCTCATATCTTTCCTCTACTTGGGAAAATAGGATAGTTGATAACAAAGATTTGTGGAAAATGTGCTTCTTTTTCCCTTCTTTATGTGTACCTTGATTTTTCTTGTAATTTTTATTTTGCTTTTTACGCTGATTTAATTGAATGATACTTATTATGTTTAACTTGTTTTTACTTCTTTTTTCACAAATGTGAAAACGTGGCTTCATTTGTCTTTGTTTGGATATGCATTAGTTTAAATCAATTGGTGTAAGTTAATCATACCTATAAAAATAGTTTAGGAAAGGAGAAATTAAGTAATAAAATTTTGAGTGACATGGTGAATACCAGTAAAACAAAGATACCATAGCTTTAAGGCTTTTTTTTTAATTAGGGGGTGAGGATTTCTGGATTGAGGTTGTCTAATTTCGTCCTATTTTGATTGTGTAGTCGTTGAGGACTGTAAGGTCATTATGTCCGAGTTTGATTATGCTTCTGTTTCCTCTGTGCGTCGTACGTGAGTCGCAAGTTGACTAGGTGCAGGTTAATGGATGGTCTAAGAACACGAACTTCAAAATTGAAAACACCAACGGAGAGATCAATGAAATCAAGCATGCATATACATTTGATATATATACAAGGCATACATTATTTTATATTTAAATTAACCCTAATCACATATGATAAGATTAATTACTCATAAATACAACTACTAATTCTATTTCTTATTCACTAATTTCATATGCTCCCTGTGAGTTTTCCTCTTATCGCCCATCTTAGTGAACTTGAGAAAAAATCATTGAAAAACTCTAGGGTAATTTAAATTCTACTCCGCAATTTGTTAGCATGTGCCTTAGTAGAAAACTCTTCTTATTATATACTCAGTAGTACTCACTCAGGATATTTATTTCATTCATAACTTCACAAATCACAATACAAACTCGTACTAATTTACGTGATTATACACATTACTTATCACACGGTTCTTTTGGCATTCAATTCGAGTGCTATAATATGACACAAGGTTTTACGGTGCACCATTTATCCTGGAACCAGGTCTTATCCTATGTATCTCACCCCCACAAATCTAACCCTTACCCTCTTCTAGCCCGCCTCCCCTCCCCCACCAACATTTCGACAAAATGCTAGAGGGGGTTACAGAAGGGCAAGTAGTTGGGTTTGTGGGGTGAGTTAGGGATAATAGGAGCTAGTTTCGAGATCAGTATGACACCCAAAGGCCTCAGTGTTGTATTATGACACCGAGTCTTGATGTTCAAAGAACCGTGCTCTATTATTTAACTCAGACCGAGACGGTATGCTATATTAGCAAGATGGAAGCATCTTGCTAGTAGCCGCCGCCGCCGCTGCCATAACCTCCTCCATGGCCGCCACCATATCCGCCTCCACCACCATTTGAGCCGCCGCCAGCTCTTGACCCTGCATAAGACCCTGCTTCTGATCCAGCACTACTCTCACCACCACCACCACCACCGTGACTTGAGCTACTAGAGCTTGAACTCGAGCTAGAGCTAGAGCTTGAACCGCCTGCTCCCGAGCCCGATCCGGAACCTGACCCGGACCCGCCTAGGCCTATGCCTATGCCAGTGCCAATGCCTATGCCTATATTACCCAAGTCCAACCCCAAACCCTGAGTCTTCACCTTCTCACCCTTAATGATGTCTCGAGCTTGGGTTACCATAAAAACACTAGAAAAGGAAAGTAAGGCGACCGGAACAACTAGAGCCTTTAAATCCCTCATGCTTAATTAGAATATAAGCTCTCAGGAACAATATTGTGGCTAAGATGACAAAGTTTTGTAAATTTATTTGCTTCATTAGCTGCTATATATATAGTGCATGAGAGCTTTATTTTCGATAGTAGGCCCCTAAAAGTCTCAATTACTATTTCCTTTATTGTCATACTCCGTATTTATTTATTTATTTATTTCTGTTTCTAGTTTCTACTAATGATTCAATAAAATAGTATAGTCATGTTATTTTTTGTTTTCTAAAGAATAGAATTTTTTATGTAAATTTTAAATATGCATGTTTTACAAATTATGTCTTTTATTTTTATACCGATTTTCAAATAAAAGAAGTTTAAAAAACTTATATAAATCCCCGCCCAACTTTTATTTTTGGAGAACAGAGAGTATATATTGATTTTAGCCTAGTTTGCTCTACACCTTATCTCGTTTCATAGATACTTGTGTTGTCTCAAATTATTTGTTCAGGTTTTTTTTACCATTATCTGTGCTCTTTCCATTCCACAATAAATGTCTATTAAGGATTATAAAATATATTAGTTTTTGAATGAATATAGACTTAGGGCATGTTTGAAAATAGCGTTAGTGTTTTAGATAAAATTTTAATGTTGTAGATTACTTTGAAAATGCTAACGTTAAATGCCGCCCAACGCTATTTCCAAAAAGGTCATTACACATGTCTACATTCATTTCAGAATTAAATTCATGAAATATACTCCTTCCTTTTCCATCATCTCCGATGGAGCCAAAATTTCATCTGTTTTTGGCTTTGGGGTGTGATGGAATAAATCAAAATGGATATCTAAACTATTTGCGCTTCTTTAATTAATGAAGTAGCAGTTAGTCAAGCAATGCAACTTTCGACGTTGAGCCGGGGGTCTTTTTGGAAACAGCCTCTCTACTTTCGAGTAGGGGCAAGGTCTGCGTACACACACCCTCCCCAGACCCTACTCTTGTGGGATTTAACTGGGTTGTTGTTGTTGTTGTAATATACCCCTTCCATTCGACAGTTATTGCTGATGGAAGAAGCCTATTACGTGAATTTATTTTTAGAACACAATTTCTGGCCCGAGGATAATGCATGTTTGGTGAGAGGAAGATGGTAAGACTTTGTGCATTGTGGACCATTGTAATGATAATAAGGTATATGAGTGGAGAGCCCATTGAGATAGTCCAATCCATCTTGTGGCAGGCAAAATTTATAGAAGACGGTTTCTACCCCTAAACCCCTCCCCACTTGTACTATTGTATCTGTTCACGCATATATTTTTTCCAACTTAATATAGCTTTAGTGTCATCGCACGGGGTTCAAACGTGAGACTTTCTATTTTTTTTTTAAAAAAAAATGATAGTGATGTCGTTGGACAACAAACTTTTTTTTTTTGCGTGCATATAACACCTAATTTTAGGGTAAAAAAGAACCGACCTCAAAATTAAAATGCGTGAGAGAATTTTAATTTTGATGAGTTGCCTACCCACAAATTCCACTAACTACATATATGTAAGGTGTATATCCATATTGCTTTGCTTCACTAGTGGCTTGTGCATGCGGCATAAAATATACTCCGTATTTAGTATATAGACCATTGTTGTCAGTTTGTGTCTGTAACACACTGATGTATATATCTAGCATTCGACATGGATAACATATCTACCTAATTTTAATTGCTTAATATTTTCTTAAAAGTGATTTACTTTTATAAAATATTATAATTATTAGGGACTAACCGAGTAATGAACTTAGATAATTCTTATATACTTTGGTATATACCAAATATTTTTGTATTGAAATTGTCTTCATCAATTTCTATTATGACATGTTTGATAATTTGAAATTTTAAATTTAGATTTGCATCAAATTCCATATTTGAGAATCTTAAAAAATTTGGATTTTTGGCAAATTATTTTACTCCGTAATTCACAACAAAACCTAATCACAAATTCATATATGAAATTCATATTTTAGAATTGGAAAGAAAGAAACGAAATCAATACTCGTTCTTAAATATCCTTTAGATAATTATACAGAGTATCAAAATGCCTGAAGTATAAGTTACTCGTATTATATTTTCAATGACATTATTTATATGTAATACAAGTACTTCGTATTAGGCCTAATCAAAGTCTGGGCGGGACCGGGTTTTGTGCTGAGCCGAGACTCTACATTACAAGGATTTTCTAGGCATGAGTTTGGTCCAGTCCGTATAACGCGCCTAACAATTGAAGCCCGAGCCCCGTCCGCACGACAAAAGTTTTAAATAGTAAATAAATAACTTCTTTAAAAAAAATTAATGGGTTAATATATATTAGATCTTTGAAGTATTAATGTCTGTTTATAATAATTTGAAATAGTAGAGTTGTTATTTTTATTATTATTATTATTAATGTTGTCATTTGTTATAATTATACTAATAATATAAAATTTTAATTTCTTCGGGTTGGGTGGCCCATGAGTTTGAGCCTAAAATTTAAGCCCAGTGCTAAAATATTTAGACCGTCATTTATAAAGTCCAAGCCTGACCCGTGGTCTAATTGTCAAGATCAAGCCTTCTATTTTACGGGCGGGCCGGATACCCGGCCCGTGATGAGCTCTGCTCCCTGTATAAAATTTGATGAAATGAATATTGAGTATAGTTTTAATTAAATATAATTAATATAGTTTTAAGCAAATAAATATTATACTTAACGTTTATTATTCAAAACAATTAGATATCCCTTTTTTATAATATGTGATCAATTTTATAAAATTTGATAAAAAAAAATCAAATCAATTTTTAAAGGCAGAACTCAGGAGGCCGTCCGCTGCGAATCCTGCGATTCATGTGATTTTTTTTCTAATTTAACCCTCCGTAAAACACAGATATGACAGAATCCTCTGGAAAGATCCAGAAGAGACTCCCAAAGTGATCCTTCTTGTCGCCGCCGGCCGTACTCCGGTCAGGTGTATCCGGTCAAACGCACCTTACCGGGATCGTCCCACCGGCGATTTCTCTCCAGGTTTAGCGTATTCGTGCTTCCGATCACTCCCCTACTGATTCTTACGTTATGCTGCCTGTTGCACATCGCCATGCGGATCATCTTCGTCCCGAAATTTTGGAGAACAAATTAGCGTCTCAGAGAGAAGAGATAGAGCAGCTTGTTGCAGATAACCACCAACTGGCATCTACTCATGTGGCCTTGAAGCAAGATCTCGCCGCGGCTCTGGAAGAAATCGAGAGAATCAAAGAGCATATTAGGAGCATTCGGACGGAAAGCGATATCCAGATTCGGCTCATTTCGGACAAGATGGCGAAGAAGGAAGGGGACATTCAAGCTTCTGAGAGAGTCCGGAAGGAGCTGCAACATTCTATTAACGAGGCGAAACAGTTGGCCACCACTATTCGGGAGCTGAGTGCTAAAATTACCCATGCTACTGGAGAATTGGAGAAAGCTCGCTCTGAGGTGAAGAATTTGCCACAAATGCAAGCTGAACTTGACAAATTGCAGAAAGAGCACCAAAAATTACGGTAAAAAGCTTTGATGTTTGATGCTTTCTTACTCATTTTATTGCTTCTATTATGTTCGGCCTTGTTTGGATTGGTTAGGTCACTTAGGTGATAGGAGTGGAATTTCAGGGAAGTAGATGTACACATTGTTAGCAACCTATTCATAGGTTCGGGAAGAGGATAGAATTAGGCAATCTCCCCTCCCAAGTCCCATCCCACCCCTATTATTTCCAAATGCAAAGGATTAAACCTATCTAAATGAGTGATGGGGGCTGAAAATGTGCATTATTGGACGAACCACATAATCTACTGCAGCGGATGTGCCATCAAGATCATTGGATGAAATAAAGTAGCATACCTTCCAATCAAAATATTTCAGGCCATTCTTATTGAGTCTTTTTTTCTTTCATGCACTATGTGTTGAATTCTTGAATGACCACAAGCATTCATCACATTTTGTAATGCCTTTGCATGAGCCTTGTGTTTGATATTGCGCTCTTTGAGCATTACTAGATGTTAAGAGTAATTCCACGTTCTTGTCCAAGTTTACCATTTGGATTTAGCCTCATTTTATGTGATTACGAAATTTAATGTAATTGAAACAATTTTACCACTCAAATGTCATACTTGTGTTGAATGTGGAGGTGGATGTGACGGCGACATTACTTTACTGTTAACCATACCGGTTGCTATTTCATCATACATAGTTGTTGAGATTTGCATCTGATTATTCAGTCTTCATATATGTTTTGACTTTGACGAGGCTTTAGTCAATTGAGTCACAATCTTCAATGCCTGTTGTGTTCTTGATTGAATGCCCATAAATATTCATCACATTGTAATATAAGGTTTTGCCCAGGCCTTGAATTCTGCATTGTTCCTTTTGACCATTATATGATGCTTAAATAATTCCAAGTTCCCATCCAAGCTTGCCATCTTGGATTACATGTTGGGAAATTTTACCCTCTTTTTATGGAATTGGCAAATTTCATGTAAAACTACTTTACCAGTAAAATGTCATCCTTGTGTTGAACCTGGAAATGGATGACTAGATGTCTATGTGACTGTGGCATTTCTTAAATGTTAACCATACCTATTGCTATTTACCATGCTTAATACTGGGTTGAGATGCCCATCTTTCAAACTCACAGTTATCATCATGCATTCTTTGACTATGAGGATGCTTTAGAGTATTGAATTTTTGCATGTGTCTAAACACGTGTCTCATCACTCTTGAATGTTTTTATTGGGTTCTTTTTATGCGTGTGTTTTATTTTTAATCTATAAGTAAAATGTAGCTCAGGTTCTCTATACTGAACTTTTTTTTCATTTGTTTAATTGGTGCCAAAAGCAAGACATTTGAGTATGAGAAAGGTCTAAACATAGCGCAAGTTGAAGAAATGAAACTCATGGAGCTCGACCTGGTTGGAAAGTCAAGTGAATTGGAAAGATTACAGGCTGAGTTGTCAAATGCTGAGAGGAAAGTTCAACAAGGTAACAAGCCATGTGCCACTTCCAAAAGAATCTTCCATGTTATTTTTTGTCCAAAAAAAGTCATACTT